TATATATATATATATATATATATATGTGTGTGTGTGTGTGTGTGTGTGTGTGTGTGTGGTCGCGGAGGGCCATGTGAGTCTGCTGACCACAGAAAGATGAGCCCGCAAATGTATCAAGCGTAAAAGGTTAATATGTGCCCCCATGTGGAACATAGTGATTACCCGGCATGGATAGTCGAAATCGATATCTCCTGACGCTGGAAAAAGGCCAAGGAAGAAAAAAATGTGGACTTTCAACAAAAAACACTATTTTCAAGAATTTATTAACAACTGGTCTTTTTTATAGGTAGTACCACGAGTGCATTGGAAATTGGCGATAAATCCCGACTCGCGAAACGAGGGGGTAATTATCTGAGAATTTCTAAAGCACGAGGACTATTCCACGAATACGACTTTAATAGGACTATTTCACGAATGAAATTATGTCCAACAGAGTTCCAAGGTTCGCCAAATATTGAATATAATTGTAATTTACGTAAAAATCAAAACGATTATGTTATAATACATACGCAATTTATCAGACATCAACATAGCAATCGATGTGTACCGCCTCCTAAGACAGATGAACATTTTATGATTGGCCACTAGGTAGAAGCGGTATGAAAAATTGGATGGAAAAAGGGATAAACTTTCTGAGGTTCACCGCCCTGTTTGAGGCATTTTGTAAAACCTTATTGGTTCTAAATTCACGAGTGGAATTGTTAAATTAATTTTAACCAACTCAAAGTACATTTATAACAATTCTGTCAGTCCTCGAAAAGACAGTGAGAGAACTGAGCGATATTTCATCCAACCACTCAAGTAACGCTTTTCTTGCTAACAATTTCAGTAGGGTGATAATGTTTCGCTTCTGAGCATTAATAGTGCAGGCTCATCTCGTCAATATTGATAACCGATTCGAGAAATTATCACCAGCGTATACACACAACCGCAACAAACCCGACGTACTCGAATAGTTCAGCTCGGGAATAAAAAGAGAAGATACACCTACATAACTCACGTTTCTTGAAGTTTCGCTTACAGTCCTTTTTCATTCATCTCTAGATTCATCAAGTAAAAATAGCAGCTAATTGACATTTATTTAGTCGTTTAACATAGCGAGACAAATAAAAGTTAGGGAAATATTGCGTAAAATAAAGACAATGTGTGGATGTGGAATAAACTCAAAATATTATTGTAGGGGAAAATGGATTAAATTACATACTGGGTAAACCGACATTCATATTTTTCCCGATTCCTGCCAGAAACAGCACTTCACAAAATCAAGGTGTGTGTTAGGGTTGTTGAGGGTGACACAGGAAATGTACTTCTCTCGTGCGAAATTTTGTTTCCAAGAAAGCCAAAATTTTGAAGAGTCAGAAGTTCTATGATAATTTTCACCCTTTTGGATAGATTCAATACATTTCTTATAGACAAGGAAAGTTTCTTTCTGATAACTTCCAGCACATTTCATACCCTACACATCCACGTGCTTGCTATCAGTACGAATGCTCACAGGATGTATAAACTAAAGAGAAAATGAATTCCCGCCGCAAGGATAAAATGGCATTTCCCTCAACGAGTATATGAGATCTGAACCATTTCTGTTTTATCATTATTTATATTGACACTATTAGTTGTCATTAATTGAATTTATTATTGATATTTTGATATTTATCATAACTGATTTTTTTGGTCGCACTGAAAAAAACATTATGCCGCACATTGAAATACGGTTCTCCCTACCAGAATCAATAGTAAAATTGGGCCCAGCTATTCTTGTGGTTGATGCACCATAGGCGCCATGTGTTGACCTCCGTGGGGCGCTAAACCACCGCCGTGTCTGGTGGTCCCCTTGTCTACCTAGCACCCTGAACCACAAAATGTATGCAATTTGTAGTATGCTGTTCGTGACTCTCTCGGAACTTCGATGAGTGGTTCCACAACCCACGTTTTTCCACTACAGTTACTACAAAAATGTTTATACGAACAATGGAATTATTAGCATCCACTGAGATGATTTAACTCATCATAATTGTTTGCTTGGAGACTTGCCTTGTTTTATACCCATACCTTTTAATTGTAAATTTTAATTCAAAAATTTGTTACTTAAAAACAATATGCCAACATGTGAAAGAACTTCCATTAATTTTGTTCTTGTTGAAAACTTGACACTAAAACAGTTGCTGAATAGAATTAGATACATTAAGATTAAATCTGACATAATTTCATATCGTGCCAAATATTCCCTCTACTAACATATAATAGCAAGTAGTGAAATTAAGTCCTCTACCTAAAAAAAGACAAAACAAAATTAACAGAAACTCATTCATATAGACTGTTGACATTCATATAGATTGTTGTTAATTCATTTCTCTGTATTGATGTATTTGGTGCCTTTGTCTTAAGTCAATTGCAACTGGTGGTCCACAACCACAAGTATATGAAAGATCAAGTTTTTTACATTTCGTGAATTTATTAGTTTAATCTTAAATTAATGACAGATGTGTGCTGCAAGCTGCAAATGACTTCAGTGAAAATATAGTCTGAATAAATTATTACAATAAAACTCAATCACATTAATCTGATACGTTTTGCAGGCATGAAAACCACAAACAGGAAAATGAACGAATGTGATAGCATTTGAAATCCATAAATCTGGCAAATTGAGGATAGAGGAAAACACTTTATGGATATTTTTAAAATTCCACATTGTATTTGAAATAATTATTCACATTATCTTTTTATACATTTTCATAATGAACATTTCTCAGCAATAAATAATAGCTCGTAAGTGGTCTAGAGCACAAAAAACAAAATATAACAATAAAGCCAAATTTAATTACGTTATCTCAGTTCCAAAGTAGCCTGAAAAGTAAGATACTGTTACGTTTCTCCGTGGTGAATTAAAACACACCCAATATTTAACAATGATGTTTATTTCGTTTCTTAATGCTACACTAAAATTACTTGATTTATTTACATATATATATTACACAGTCTTTGTATACTTCACTTGCTTATTTTTCTTACACACGACTCCCTTCTCTTGATTATTTATTTACAAAGTTCACTTCTATTTATTTATTTACACTGTTCACTACAATCTTATTATTTATTTACATTGTTCACTACTTCAATACTATCGCACAGTCCGATGCACTGTCCACGGTGCCCAACGCGCCCACGGCCTACGCTGACCACAATTCACTGCGAATGCCACTATTCACAGTGCAGACCACAATTCACTGCGCAGGCCACAATTCACTGCGTAGGCCACAATTCACTGCGCAGGCCACAATTCACTGCGCAGACCACAATTCACTGCGCAGACCACAATTCACTGCGCAGACCACAATTCACTGTGCAGACAACAATTCACTGCGCAGACAACAATGCACTGTGCAGACAACAATTCACTGCGCAGACCACAATTCACTGCGCAGACCACAATATACTGCGCAGACTACAATTCACAGCGCAGACCAGGGTTTCCTGCACTGCCGTTTACCCCCACTGCTGTTCCCCTACTGCACCACTTTTTACCGCGACGCACACTCCACAGCTGAGCTTCCACTGCAGACTTGAGACTACTCTTCAGCCACTGCACCACTGTTCATCGCAATGCACACTTCACAACTCCTTCCACGTCAGACTACTGCATACTCACACTGCTTACTAGTTCCACTTCTTACTGATTGAATCGCGACCGACCGGCAGCGGCCAATTTATACTTGGCCGGCGCCCGTCTCCACACAACCGGCACTTGCTCCACATTTCTACGCGACTAGCGAATAAGCCGGAACCGTCCTGCTCGGGGGGAGGGGGAGCGGGCATATGATGCAATTCGCTCAGCGAATTCTGGCTGGTGATGCAATATTCGTTACAATTCCAATTTTGCATCTACGTATATTGTAAATTTGTTCACATGGTAAAAAACAGATATGTTGGCACATTAACATTTTGGAAGGATCACATAGCCTCATGTTATAAAAATATTTCATGCAGTGTTTACTCCTTTAGAATTTGGAAACTAATCAAGAGGTCAAATTAAAATTCATTGTATTTACGCACAGTATTGTTATTTTATTGAATTTCTAATTATTACTGGCAGATCTCTCAGTGTTCAATGAAGTTCAAATTAGTCTAGTCAAATAAGTTTTGTTGTCCAAAAATAGTGAGTCAGGAAACAATGTACATATTTAAAAAAATAATTATAAAAGGAATTTGCTTCTGTAAATGGATTAGTCGTGACCATTTCTTAACATCAATCCCAAACTATAGTTTTATTAAAAAAGCGCCGTGTAATTAAATTCTCACACGAGGTGGCTAGTTCTAAATCCCATTTTTTTCTTTCTGAAATTTAGTTATTGTATGTCAATGTTGGCACTGGGCCATTAATATCACATGTTCCCTGAAATTGGATTAACATTTTTATTTATGATATTTTTATTAAAAATCGATGACAAAATCAAAGAGAACAGTCTCCAAAAATTGATTGTTTCGAATTTTCTATAATACCTATTATAGAAACAAAATTCTCACCTCTCAGCATGAAGCTTCCATTGTTACATGGGATACCAATTATATACACATTATCACGATTTTCCTATATAAAAATTGTTAATCTCTAGTAATTTCTGAAAGTGACAATATTCTGAATATGTAAAATAAGAACAATAAAATTTGTTTTGTAAATTAAAACTCAAACCCGTAGAGTAAACCTCAAACAATCAAAGAAGGGAAATTTCATATTATCTTAGATCAAGTTCCAAATTTCAAATTCCAACTACGCAAATATATATCATAAATATTGTTTTCTGAAGTAAAAACAATCATTTAAACTAATAACAAATCATTAAAAAGATTGTATTAAAATTAATGTAATAATTCAATATTCGTAAAAAAGTGAAAATAATTTCCATTGATGAGACACTATTCCCCACTCCGAACGGGACTGGCCCGCTATAAGCCCGCGTGGTCCAAGAAAGCTAATTCCCGCACTGAAAAAAATAACCATTTCACTCTGGACTACAAATTTATGATTCCGTGTCTTCCAGTTGTGACGATCGAAATAGATTTTATGACAATTATCACCGATGACGTTCTCATGATTGTAGTGCTAATATAGCCCCGATGGTTGGAAAGTACATGGAGGCGCAGAACCACTCATATTCGTTATCACTTCCTAAGGGATTCCACTAACGCTCGGCAGCAGTTAGTGACGGAGACCTATTTTGGTAAGGTTTGCCACCCGTACACTTTGGCGGAAGCCAGAGAGCTTAGTTAGGCCGGGGTGGCGGGGCATCAGTCCATCATGTTATGGAAGTGAGTATCGTCAAAATATAGGGCAATCTGATGGGAGATTCGTGTTCTTCAACGGACTTCTTTATGTGGGTTCGGGAACAAGTTCCGCGCCCAATTTTGCTCCAAAAGTCAGCGGTTTGGGTCCCAACTTGGTCGATACTGGCCGAGCGTGAGTAACCAGGAGCCTAGCACCTCCTCATCACTGCACCCACCTTGGCGCTATCGATGTGAGTAGCGTCGCGAAACTCGGGTCCGGGGACACAATTCTAGTCTTCATTAAGGAACCTGAGAGAGACAATGGAGACCAGAGAGAGAAGGTCGTTGCAACCCATATGCGGTTGCGGCGATGGTATAACGGTTAGCGTATCGGACTGATCGGAAAAAATCCTTCGTACGCTTTCCTTCGGAAGCGACGTAAAGCCGGCTATCGCATGTTAGTAGATTTACTGCATGTAAAAGATCCTCAAGCCTAAACGAAGCCTAAGCTAAATTCAAGCCGCGTGCTTCGTCGCCTACGTAATACATCCTTTCTCCGCTAGTTGGTGAAAGGAGCGTAGCGAAATTTGCGTGGTCAGATGGAAGAGGGCCTCATAGCTTGAGTCGCCACGTAAAATAAGGCATAAATTCAATTGAATTGAATTCAATTCAATTTAATCCAATTCAATTTATATGTCCACAAATCAAAGCAGTCAGCAGTGTCGAAGAGGCTGCCGTCTCCGGAATCCACTTCATCCACATGTACGATTGAGAAGGAACCTAATCAATTGTAGGTATGGATGAAACCACGACCACATGCCCAAATTTCAAGATGGGAGGACGTAGTGATGCAGCTTCGCCGCCAGATAGGAATTTGGGGAACACGCTCCACTACCTGCCCATTAAGTAAGGAATTGACGGGCGCGACTTGCCCCATCCCCAGGGAAGGAATGGTCACCCAAGACACCTCACCCGCTGTGTTTTGTATTTGTTTGTAAATAAATATTTTATGAACTTGGATGATGTGTTTCGCTCATGCGAATCATAACCATACTCATAATTAGGAAACGGATTTCTATGATTTGGCATATTTTTGTCCGTTGCGTCAGGACAGAGCGAAGTGAAATTCATGTTATTTGGTTAGAATTGGATGCTATGTAGATTAATATGTTAGTGAATATTTGTGCACATTTGGCTAATTGTTCCTGTTAATACATATTATTGTAATTATAGGAGCATATTTTGCATATTTCGTAAAAATACTTATCTTATTTGCTTATTTGTGAGCGTTCATGATTAGAAAGACCTTGTCAGAGTTTGCGTTTTTTCTTTTCTATAGATGATAACTTACTTGTGGAATGTAGGATATCATCTTTTATTACCAGGCAGAAAAAGGAAATAAAACATACAATGTATTTCACTAAAGTGCATATTTACTTCAATTATTTCTCCCTTAAATTCAATTGCATAATAAATTGCATCTTTCATAATTATTAGGTCATAAATGGTTATTTGAAAAGCATGTATGTTATTAAAGCATACATTAAAGATTTTTTACGATGTACAAATTCTCTCCCTACTCATAATGTAAGCAAATGCTTTCATAAGACTGCATATAAAAAAATGTAATGCATCGGTTTCCCATTAAAGAAAGTTCATAATTTTAAATATTTCTGTTGGGCAGATTTATTTAGAAACAAATAAGGATTTTAGAGGCAAACGTTTCTGTTAACTTAAATAGCCGTGTATGAGAACAAAACGTAACGTCATATTCCTTGAGGAACAGGCTTAAGCTGACAAATAAATTTGTAGAGTTTCTCATTTATTTTATTATTATTGTAATTATTATATTATTATACCTCATTTAATTATATTTCAACCCGTTACTTTGAACGTATAGGCATTTCCCGTCTTTTTCATATTGTGTCAACAAAAACAGACAACCCACGAATTAGTAGCAATTTTTATTATTATATGCAATATTTTTTTCGAGGAACAAGTGCCTTTGAGTTTAGTTCATTCTGTTTTATGTTTATATTCTACGTTAACTTAAAACAAATAACACAATAAACAAATTTATATCTCTTTCGCCAACTTTCAAGTTATTCTAAAAGGTTTAAACGTCTCATACTCTCTTTTAGGCCCAAAATGAATAGGAAAATCATTGGGAGCAACTTTTTAACGATTTTTTGTAACACTCTAACCTTTTACACTTTATCCCACCGATGACGACATTGGGCTACTGAATGGAAATAACAATAAAGATGTTGATGAAGACTGATGTGTGACAAAAATATATAAGTTAGGAAATACTCCAGAATTTTATTTTCAATTTGTTGGAAATTGGACATATTTTTATGTTGGCCCCAAAATGTATCTTTTGAATAAGAATTTTAAATTTCAACTACTAGTATTCTCCACTTTGGAGCATATTGTCCATCAGAATGTTTTAAAAAATCTCATTTAATTTTGAATATTTGCATAACAGCTTGTAAATATAGTGCTGTTAATTGCATTTCATATTATCTTGTCCATTGTCTATCTTTTTGTTCACAAGTGTTTTTGTTCACACTCCAATTAGGATCTTATTTTATGTCTATTAGTGGAAAAAATTTGGGTAAGACAATGTTTATCAGCCCGATGTTGACATCGGGCTACTGAGTGGGACCAAAATCAATGTTGATAAGTGACACAAATTATGTAAATTTAGTGATGTTTACTTGCATGTCATATTTTCTCATATCCTTTATCTGTTCATATCACAAGTGGTGTAACTCAATTTATGATCTTATTATACGAGTTCAAACAAACCTATCTAAACACACGAGTAAAACTATAAAACAATGTTTTGCCACGTTTTCTACGACGCTAGGAAAACATTAAATATCTTGGTATAATAAAAATGTGAGTTACACCACTTGATATTTCAGAGGATCAAATACGGTTATATATTTCCGGAATAACTACCGAAATCGTTTGAAGCAAATACAAAAAAATAAATATTAATCATTAGGTCTAATTACTTCTGAAGACTCTTTACTGACGTTGAAGCGGAAAGAAAAGAAAATAATTACATTTTATAATTTGATACTATTATTACCAGTAAACCCGACTGCTTTCACATATGTACGACTGCTATATTTTGGATTTAAAAGCTAAACTCTTCGCTGAAATAGGTAAAACAGCATTGATACGTTTAATACTTTCGGCGATACGATGGACAAGAATGATTGCCACAAGTTTATTATGGAATTATTATCTACAATAGCGCATTCGAATATTTAATATTTGCGAATAAATAGTTTTGACAGCAAAAATAGCATATAAAAAGTTGTGTAATAAACCACCTGTTGAACACTTCATCCTCAACTCTGCTATTCCCGCTATGTTAGAGTACTCTTTACTGTCAACCGCATAAAAGCGGATCACATGAAACACATTATCTAAAGTGTGTTAAAGTTATTTCCACCTAATATTCGTGACAGTTATAAATAGGTTATTGGAGAACTCCCTAGCTTTGTTACTCTATTTGGTTTGGAGTATATTGGTTATGAGAAATATTGTCATGAAACTATTTAATTAAAATATATTATACATTTTTTTAGAGATTAAAAAAATAAAAGTGAATAATTGAACTAAAAATAAAATGCAAAGTCAAGTTGAAAAGATCCCTTTTCTGCTTTTAATATTTCAGAAAACGCTCCTTTTCCTTGATCTTTGAAATGAAAATAAAATCATAGTAAAAGCATCTTATGTTATTGGATATTCAAATTGTCCAGAGCATTACTCGTATTCACTTCGGCAGGGAATCTAATCCAGCTCCACAGGTTTACGCTCAGTTCCTCCGGCCACTAAGCTAGCGACACACCTTGGTTTGAAGTAGGTTTCTTAGGCCTGCAGTGTGACCCTTTAATAGATACTCGAGGTGACAGAAAGAGAAGGAAACAAGATTGCAGGGTAATGACAATTTTTTCCTAACGGCGCTAGGGTTTGTTCAGTGAGATGATTTTTATTCTCCCTAACGCTAAACTAAATTGAAAGGGGTATTGTTGGAGAGTAACACGACAAATGATTTGCATTCACTTCACGTTGGCTAAATTGGGCTTGAGCTGTTTTATTCCCTATTATTTTTGTTATTCAATCAACTTCATAATGTTATTACGTCAATATATTTAAGTAGCTAGAATGCAAGAAACGGACACTTTAAAACTTAATTTTTAAGAAACATTATTTGATGCACTATTATGTGACCATATTTTAATATATTACGAGTTTAATTAAAAGTATCAAGAACGTAAACAACGCGAGCACTCTGAAATTCAATATTTATGGCTTATTCGATTACATTAGTTTCATGATTTAATCCACAGGCAAAAAATATTTTTATCTGCTTTTCAGCATGTTTGTATCATTTATTGCAATATTGCTTTTAGTGACGACTTTGGAAAAATATTATTCACTCGTTAAAGCTATTTCTAACCCACAATTGCACGCACTGAACTGACATTTTAGGCATTAAAAGCTGACAATCCAGCTCCCACGGGTGGCCGGAAAAAGCGTTTCGCAAAGCCACGCGACCTTCAGCTATGCTTGAATGTTTGAGAACCTGTAAAAATAGCGTCTACAGGTATGAACGGCCATATACATTTTAGCTGCATGCGACACGTCTAGGAACATACTTTTTTTTAAAAAAAAGAGTCATGATAAAACTACGCATCTTTCTCGTATTATTGGTAAATATTATGTAATATTATAATTCTAGTTGAGCCCCGAAGGTCATCCAACCTCCTAAAAACATTTGCCCAGATCGAGAACCGCACTTGGGCATTGACTACTCCAGCACTATACCACCAAGCGAATTTTAATTTAAATCTGTCCGATGTCTTTTAATATTCAAGCTTTGCTCTACACAAACAAAATTTTCAAGTAATATTTGGACACAATTTTTCCAAAATCTTGTTTACGTTTATTTTTATTTTATGTAACGATATCACATTATATCGAATTTCACATTTATATCGAATATCACATTATTATAACGATATGACATTATATAGAAGATATATCGAATTAGTGAATGTTGGTATGTATAAAATATTATCTCGATTTTATTTTACGGACACTCGTATGTAGTGTATAGTGCTGCTGAGAAACGAGGTTGAAAATTACACTTCGCAAAGGGGCACACGAGTGACTATGTTGCAAACTTTAAATCATGGCTATTCGGCACGCAGAAACAACAAACAATTGTGTGGTATAGAGGAAGTGTATGTTGTAACAAAATCGATTGTTCGGAGGTGACAAATATTTTAATGTTGTTCGTTCGACTGGGAAAGCTTCCAATTGCCCATACGCTGGAGGTTTCGAAAATATTGAAAGGAAAAAAAAATCATTTGAATGTGTGACTCGCAAAGAAGGCATAGCTGCATTTCGAGAAAACTATCCGTATTTTCACGTTATTAAAGATGTTCGGAAACAGGATAACAGAAAATCAAAGATAACTTTTTGATATTTTTTTATAATCCAATATAAACTCCGTTCTCCAACACGGCGTCAATCCTGTTTAATCAACAATCATCTAGTACCACAAATAGGAGTTTTGCCCAAGCAGCTAATGTATTTAAATTCCCCAAAAAGGAGAATGCAGTTGCAATAGACTCAGCTAATCAAACCCCAACCTTAGACTTTCACCAGGACTGTCAGAAAATATCAACTCTGCTCAGATTATATTTGTTCCAAAAACCTCTAACAATAGACTACGTGCATACAATTGTCCCTAAATACATTCCTGATGAGCTTGTTACGAAACATAAAAGTATAAATGTATATAATCAACATTTTCCTATACGACCTCTAACATCCAGAAATAAGAGAATAATTCTTTGAAATGTAAGCCCTAGTATTCCCCATAAGGTTCTAGAAGACAAGCTATATATGTATGGTATAAAAACAGTGTCACCCACGGCGTTCCTTAGAGCGAGCTTTTCAGATCCCAATTTTAGCCGTATTTAACCTTCCGACGAAAAACGTTCATTGCTCCTGAAGATGGAAGTTAACTACCAGAATGCTTTCAACTAACGTTCGATGAGGTATTTCACTGGATTTACATCACGTCAGACATTCCTACGTGTTTTCAGTGCATGCAACAAGGGCACTTAGCCAAAAATGCTCTTCATTAAAAAACTCTGTACCCCTCCCGGTAACTTCCACCTCCTGTGCTGTTTCAAAATCCTCCACCACAACCCCATCACCAGACGACACCACTGACCCTCCCCAACCTCTCCTCGTTCAAAAAGAACATTCAGCCAACTGTACGCCAACTGCCACGTGCCTGACCCTGCCCTCCCCGACCTCAATTGCACCTCCTTCGACCTCGACGGATAACGTTCCCGATAAGCGCACCGAAGGGGACTCGACCAACGGCCCCATGGCTAGAATGAAAAGACCTCTTTCTTCTACCAACTCAGAACACACTTCACTGGCCCAATTAACTGACACCGACAATGAATCTATGGACTTCAACTCTGCATCTTATTCAGAACTATCATAAAACCAAGTTGAAGTTATTAGAACGAGACAATTAAGATCGAAAAAATCCCACCAAATAAAAAAAAAATTGTATGGATGGTTTATCATGACGTGAAGGAAGCATTACACTGACATTAAAGAAGCAATAAAGCTGAGAACCCATTTTCATTGAATGAAATAAAACATTTTTTGATAAAATAAAAGGAACAAAACATGAGTACGTAATCAAAATTGGGAAGAATTTCACTAATTAATATGGCCGTACTAATAACAATGCTAAAAGAAATTCGTCACACCCTACCTCGAAAAGGATTCAAGAATAGACGTTCAAGAATTATTTAAAAAATCTTGAACTTACAAAAAATACTACTCATGAAGCAAGTTCTTAAGTACAAAAGGAATCGTCGCCAAAAAAGTCAGTGAAATCAATTATGGACATTGTTTAATGGAACTGTAATGGTTTTCATGCTAGATTACCATATTTAAAACTCATCAGTGATCACAACCCACAGATTTTATGTCTTCAAGAAATCAATTTTCTAGTATGAATCCCTTCCCACAAGGGAATGTAGGGCAATGAACAAGCAGATGTAGCCGCAAAAAATGCAACATCATTCTCCAATTTTGAAGAGAGTGCAAGTGGTTCTCTACAAGATACTAAAAAACTAATACCAGTATTACAAATTACGGGGACATATTATAGACATCAAGACCATCAAAACTCCAGCTTGTTAGGAAGGCAGTATATGCGGCATCATTGCCAAAACTGCAAATTAGTAGGAGCAAGCAAGGGACTTATCAGACTGGGAATCGGCCACTTCAAAACAAATCATAATCACCTGATTAGAAAAGTCGACCCAGAGCCATGTTCCCGGTGTCAAGCACAAACATCAACATTCCATCAAGTTCTTGACAGAACTTAGCAAGAGAAAGGTCATTACTGGGAATCTACAACAACGTACCTGATTTATTCAAATCGGACGATGGATGTGATAAAATTATAAACCTGGTAAAATCAGCTCGGTTTGAATTGCTAATATAAGTTGTTCAATTTACTTTTCAATGTTATTTAAACCTTTGGGATTGACAATACTTTCTTGTGCATTGTAAAATTAATGTTATATACTGTTCTACTTACATTACAGTGTCAAAAATATTGTAAAATTGTGTAATTATCAGTGGTCGGTCATAACCTAAGCTGTTTTTATTAAAAACTTAATTTTGTTTAAGTAGAAGTTTTTATTTTTATCCACTTACGAATCCAAAATTGATTACGGTGTCTGGACTGTGCGACGGGATTAAAGGCCCTAAGCCACGGTCAGAGGCACTGCAGTGACATTTGAAGCTCTGAGCAAACTCAGTAGGTAAGATTTTGTAAGTCTACCCCATCTCCTTCCCATATTGATAAAACAAAATTTAAAGGTGCACACTTTAGCAAATATTTCGAAATCCACCAAAGTGAATTAGAGGCTTCTGAAAGTCCCAAGGCCAGGGCAAGGCCAGGGCAAGGCCAGGGCAAGGCCAGGGCAAGGCCAGGGCAAGGCCAGGGCAAGGCCAGAGCACTTCCTCTGAGAAGATACGTAAAAAGTGTTGAATCAAAAAGAAATGCTTTGTGACAGGTTACGCATAACTTACTACGCATAACTTAAAAAATTAAAACATCGGGAAGCCTTCCTCAATACACATGATTAGTTTAACAAGAAACCCTGCTATATAGCTACCTACAAAAGCGACATTAGGATAATGTTAATTTATTTTTAACGAATACATTGTTGTAGAAATAATACGAACATTTCGCGTCAGGGACAATGTCGCTGTAAGACGATACAAGGAACGCCTGGAAACATTCTACGAGAAGTGTGGTGACGGGTGACGAGGGGGGAAAAGCGCACGGGTCTATCGAAGGAGTTCTTCAATTGACCGCTAGAATGCGTTATGAAGCAGTGGCTTTCGCAGACCTAGTTCTCACGCTGGACACCAGGTTGCGTTGCCATTCTCAACGATACACCTCTGTATTATTTGTTCTTTATTGCAAAAAATGTTTTAGCACCGTTATAAATTAAATTAACATTACTTATTGTTTAATTTTCTTTAGAAATTGTAGACATTAATATTAAAACATAATTCAGAGAAAATGCATGAACTTTCATCGGAAATATAAAATGTCAGACGAACTGGTATATTTTATATCATTTTACGAAATGATCAGTATTACTTCATCACACATTTTCCCACGATCACGATCGAGCATAATTGAAATAGCAATGTCTTTCAAATTACTGAATGAGCTTCAATTATTAGAGCACTTTAATATATTCGATTAAAATTACGACAGATAATTGTTTCAGTCATTTCCATCATCAGTTAAACTTGAGATTGAATGGAGTTGAGATTAAGTAGTTCGAAGAGTAGTCTAACAACGCCTGATCAGTCCCATCCCCTCTACCTACATTACATCTTACCGTTCCCTATATCCTGTCACAGCGCCATTTCAGCGGCACTGATGCATCTTTTCTAATGTGACACTATTTCACCTTATTTGCAGCTGACATCTGAAAGCATTCTAGGTCCCTTGTGTCTTACCGACGCCGAAACTATTAGGTTTTGAGCGCATCATATTCTGTGAATTAGAGGATATAGGGTGGACCACACTGTGATGGACAATTTAAGGCCAACCGATATGTTTTATGCAATGCATAATTGCTTAGTTTAACACTAGAAAATTAATAGTTGGCAAATGAGTTACTACATACATGTACAGTTATGAGGCAAGAAAGTTAAATAGTTGAACATTTTATGAGATATGAAACTAAAATAAGGCAGAAAATAAAGTGATGGGCACTTTGAAGACTCACGTTGGCACTTACCAATATAGTGATGGACACTACGTCATTTGTTTGGGCTGAATTTACCTTTGTTTTCCTGAAGTTAGCCCTATTTCTTGTTTCATCTAGAGGTATATTTCCTGCGTAATGATGTTGAACTGTTATACTCCTTCTCGAACAACATCGCAGAGTTTTTCAAATGTCATTGATTTTTTTCTGTGTTGTGGTTACTACCTTTTCATTATCCACATTTTATGCGATGCTATTGTACATCCGTCTTAAGACATTTCGTGAAATCAATGCGCTCAGTGCTCCAAAGAACAAGGATTTAAGCTCTAAAACCATTTCGTAATGTTTCTGGGCTCATTGCACGCACTACCATCTCTAACACCGGAGCAAAGTCTTTTCTAGAAAGAGATTCAGAAGAATGTTCTCGACGCCATGTTAGCACACCTTTATTCCACGCACACTTTAATTGGTTAAATTCAGCGACATTTGCTGGATGGAGAATTCTGATGGCATTTCCATACAGTGCTATTACAATTATTTGTAATTCAGAACAGAGCTCACTCATCTGAAAAGTAAAGAGACTTCTGTGACCATCCACGAAAAGAAGAGAGATTTCGTAGTAAAGAACAGTTCAAATTCAAAGTTTGCAAACTGAATTCACTTGAACGAAGGGAAGAAGTCTATTACATCAGTAACATCTACCAGATATAATTGTTCACTGTCTTTCTTTTCAGAAAGTCACCATACCTCAAAATAAGGGTTATATAATAGTTTTAAATGATTTTAATCAATTTTCATATTGTTTTTCTTTGTTTTAGGGCATTTCAAAAACATTTTAAGAGGATTTTACTGACTTTTTTGGCGATGTTTTACGTCATCAAAATCCGTCCCCTAGTGATAACATTTAACCCTAGAAAGTTTATTGAGTCATAATTGGTATTTTCAAATTTGAGTGATGGCACAATGCCCATCAACGTTCAAAATCTTTCTAAATGCATATTTTCGCTTAACACGGCAAACAATGTTCGAAAATTCAATATTAACATTACAGTAATGCATAACAAATATGTTACTCAAATTACAGTGATAGACACTCGATGTCTATCAATGTCAAGCATGTCAGAACTATTTACAGTTATAGGCACTACATTTCCTTGCTTATGATCTCCGAGAAGACGCAAACACTCATTCTAGGCGTCGAAGTAGCAAATTGTTACTTATACGACAAACTTGCAGAAAATCTGGATTCGCAACAAGAATATGTGATATTCAGAGTATTCAAGATAGTTTGTTCCCGCAGTTATCAGACGATATTTGACAAAAATAGTGTCACAGTAAATAGCAAGGGCGACGAATGTTTACTAAAGGAAATGAAGAAAATTCTTAGAAAGTAAAAACACTATTAAGAGACAGGCCGAATAGAATTCTGAGAATTTTTTGGGGGGTATATTGCTTGCCTCAGGTGTATTTCAAGAAAACAATGAGTATCCACGTGATTTATAAATGAATACTACAGTCGGCATATTTATCCTGCAACAATGTCTAGCGACAGGTTTTAATTATTGCTCTCCATAATTAGATTCGACGACAAAGATCCTAGAGAAGAAGTAAGGCAAAAATCTAAACTCGCTGCAATAAAAGAAATGTGTGAAATATTTATTCATAATTGTCGTGAATGTTGCGAACACGCTAGGAAAATTATTGAGGAGCATGAAAAAAGAATTGGGGAAATTATCTCCCATTGTAATCAGACCAAATGTGGTGTTGATCTGGTATATGAAATGATTCGTGAACTTTCTTTCAGTAGATCAACTACTGGGTACGGCAGCGCTGAAAGCATTTGACTTGTAGGAGTGTGCAAAGGTCGCCTCCTCTGAAGGATGACGCGCCCCTCTGACAGGTTAAGAGCAACATAATAATTCTATAATAATATAAAATGTTTAATTATTGTTTAACAATTACAATGGCAAACGAGTAGTATACTTCTTTTAGTTTAATTCACTACTACTATTAAATATTTATTTCTTTTACTATATAAATTAAGAGTTTTCACTGTATTTCTACCTTTAAAAACTATTGTTAAAAAACATTATAAACACAATCTCGACCCACGTTTCAATCAACTTTCCCTTGAGTCATGGGATAAATGCTTATGATAACGTTATTTCTGAACAAATAAATGACGCTTTTATTCATCTTTAATAATGTCGAATGAAGAGCAGTTTGTTTTTGATATAAATAATTAAATAAAATATATAAATTAAGCGGTATATTATTATTTTACACCTGGAACAAGTTTCATTAGATTCATACTGAAAAAAAGTTATAAAATCACTAAATAAAAAGTTATTTAACTTAATATTCTATACATCGTTTTGGCCCCGTTCAGGCCAACGAAGGACGTAGATAGAAACAGACGAAAGTTATTGATCAAGCTTTCTGAAATAGCAGTAACCCTTATTCAGAGAAGAGCTACTGAAACATTAAATTTACATTTGTACGTAAGGCGAGCTATGGTGGCATTGGTGTGTAGTGCACACTTGCAAGTCTGGCTCTCGAGAGACCAGATCAACGGAGGGACCGCAACCACTAGATGAAGCGCAAGCAAGAAAACGTGGAAGATGTCACAAATGACAAAGAAACGCGGTAAAAAACATATTGTGTTGTGTATGTGAAAAACCGGGTGATCCATAAGCAATCTAACAAAAATGTTATATACCAGAACCAAAAATTCATACAGCAAGCGTATCACTGTTGTGAAGACTTTTGTAGAGTTTACAATAATGTAAGTAGACACAAACACATAACCTGCACCGGGAATCAGCCGATAAACAAAAATTACAGGAAGAAATGAGAAAAGGATAAACTCAAATAATCATCGTTGCGACCTGAAATTAATTGAAAATCAAATTCGCCCTTTCAAAATACACATAAATATGCATGGGGGCTTGATAAAAAAACAGCTAAAACAGCTCATATTTTCTAGCATAATTTGTGACGGCTCCGCAACATTATACTACTTTATGAACCTTCCAAAACCATTCAACCAGCAACAATTTTTTCCGCGGCGAGACTCGGGCCCATCGAGTTAACTATCCGAGCGCTTTTCCACTACAAGACGCAGAAACTCTGACGAACTCACTTGTGCCGAGGGCACTTACAAACCTAATTGTCCCTCTCATTATTTCAAACAGGCAATTTTACCAAATTCAGAGAGTTCAAAGAAAATGAGACCTTCTCTATTCTTTTAAACGTCCCTTGTGTTATTTGTGGAAAAGAATAAATTGAAGCGTTTTTTGAAAAACGGTATTCTTAGTAAGTTGTAATAATTCCAAGCTGAAACTACGCTAAAATTATTCGTTTTCTCACAAAAAATTGTACATTTTATTTTTTAAGAACAGATTTTGTTTAAAGAAATATCTTCAATTCTGTAATTTCAAAATATAAAATTTTTGCAAATTCTGAAACCAGAGTTCGTTAGAAAGGAGACCGTTGCCATTTTACCATCTTTAAATAAATAAAATGAGAAATTTTAAAGAAAAAAAATGTGAAAGAATTATTGAGAAAAAACGTTTAAAAATACCTACATTTCAAGGAAAATTATGCGAAAACTACTCACATTTTCCAAAAATTGTACATGACCTTACTTTAAATATCTTTACAGAACAGATTTTGACAGACGGGCGGGCAGACAGGCAGACAGACGGGCGGGCAGACAGACGGGCGGGCGGGCAGACA